GTAACGTGCGCTTCGCCTCCACCGTCAACTCCGTCTGCGCCGCCGCGCGCTACCATTACGTCACGGTGCTGATGAAGGGCGAGGCGGAGCCGGGGGCGGAGCCGAGCAACCGCGAGCCCGATAAGAACGAGGGTGAGGGCGGCGCGCGGGCGTGTCCCGGCGTGGCTCTTCCGCGCCGAGATTCAAGAAGAGTAAAGTAATACGTTTAGAGTAACTGTGTACGCAACACAGAGCTTGAATACGTCAGCAGCAGCGTCTGTACCAGGCTTGCGGGGGCAGGGTTGTGTCTTCATTTCACACTCCGACTCTTTTTTTCCCCTCCCTACAGGTTGGGAATGGGTGAAATGGGATGAATTTCCTCCAGCGGATCAACTGTTCTGGGCCTTGCGCTGCTTGAGAGAGCAAGGCTACAATCCTTTCACGGAAGAGCTGGATCACCTGAAGGGGTACACGGGGAGTCACCAACTAGGGTGAAAAATAATTGCACTTTATGTAACAAATGCAAGGACAGACTGGCTTTTTTGGTGTAAAAAAGGATCTGTCATGCTCTCTCTGCCAGTGTGAAAATGTCACTCTTCCCAAAGTCAAAAAGATGCCAAATGTTTCAGTGCTTTTACCCTATTTCATGATAGTTGTCTCTCATTCCAGAGCTATTCCTAGCTCTAGTGGTTAATAATTAACATAGTGGTTAATAATTAACATTTTCTTCTATAGAAAACTCCCAGTGTATTATCTGGTTAGTGTTTTAGGTAGCTTAAAACTTCCAAGCTCACTTGGAAACAGTTGCAGCATCAGGCCCAAGAAAAACTTTTAAACCACTGTCCTGCTTCCTATGGAAAACTCTGTATTTCATGCTGCTTTTCTTTAATTATAAATCTTGGACCAATTTTTAAACTTAGCCTTGTCTCACAGCTTCAGTGAAGAAAGTATCATGAACAGGAGTCACATTTTCCACATGATGCCTTTTTTCTCCTGCAGACAGTAGAGCATACTTGAAAATCAGGGTATTATCAACATGAACAAGGTCACGGGGGCTGCTTGGAGGGAGTGAAAATTCCTTGACCCTTCTGCCACCCTTTTCCATTACAGAGTTCTCTTTGCAGATGGGTGCAATTCTGTATGGCTGCTGAGATTTGGCAGGATTGTTAATTTTCAGTTTGATGTGACAGCTGAATTGGTAGTGAATGAAATCACAGTACACAAAGATATATAAAAAAATAATGACTTTCTATTTTTTCTTTTTTTTTTTTCCTCAATTCTGTAACCAAATGTGATTCTTTTCCAGATGCAGTCTTTAGGACATCAGCAATTAATTTTAGGATGACTTTACAAAATCACTATAGGCTGTTTTTTTTTTCTCAAGGTTCTTTTAAAACACAGGTTGTCTGTTTCCTTTAGGTAAACCCATTGTACAAAATGTTCTGAGATTTATTTAAAGGAAATTAAAGGTAACATAAGTACAATATTGAAAGATTAAAATTGTCTGAAATTATGGACTGGCTTGTCAGTGCTGAAAATAAATGAGCTTAAGGGTTTAAAGCTCTTCCTTGCTTTGCACGTGCATTTTCTTAAACAGAGGTGGCTTTTTTTGCTGAGAAGCAGACAAGAGTGGTACAAGGTATAAGGATGCTACTGACAATCACAAGCTTCCTGCTTAGAATTTAAAGGTTTAACTAGGCACAACTTCCCTTAGGACAGATATTCTCTCTCAAGTGAAGAAAGATAATGTAGAGCAGTTTTGAAATAGGAAATACCATTGAAAATTCCTTTACTACTGTGTCTTTGTGGAAAGCTCTTTTTTCCTATTCAAAAGTGGAGATTTTCTTCTTGAAAGCAACTTTATGTACAGTGAAAATTATTCCATTCAGCTGTCAACAAAGAGGCTGTACAAAGAGATGACAGATGTCCTGCCCATCTGTCCCAAAGAAAAAAAATGAAATTTAAAAGAAATATAGTGATTGAAATGATTTAGTACAAGTTTAAATTTTAGAAGACATCCAGCGCCTGATGTGAAAACAGAGGTCACTGTAAAATGGTTTGTCATGCAATAAATATTTTGTTACCTTTAATGATTGTAGTCATTCTGTTGTAAATATACAAATAGTTACTGAAATAAGCACACACACCGTATGTCAGGGGTTCTGTATGTTTTCTGAGTGATCTGATAAAATGACTGCAGTGCATTACTGCCATCAGTAAAGACGATACTGAATAAAGGTTAAAATACATGTGTATATGAGTAACTTTAGACTGCAAAAGAGAGGTGAAATTTTTATAAATCAAAATACTTGCAAAGGAACAGCTGAGACAAAAACCAAATTCCCTATTTCTCTTAAAACAGTGCCCCATCTTCTGTGATTGAACCTGACTGAGGAGAACCTTTTCAGTTCTACATCCTTACGGGATTTATATGTATGATGGTCATATGTGGCAGCATTACTGACAGCAATATTTGAAAGACTGAGGAAGTACCTGATTTGTCAGATACTTCCCATGAGGAATCTGCAAAATGGAAAACCAGAGAGAAACGTAGCTGTCATAAAATGACTCCTTAAGCAAAACAGAACAAGGAGACGAAAGCCAAGGGCAGTGCCTTCGGAAAGATGAAAGAATATTACAGCTGAGGCAGGAGATGCAACTGGGGAAGTAAACAAATTAGCAGGTTCAAAGGACTGAAAATGTTATAGATGACAAGAACAGAGCATCTGTAACCACTTTGTACTGAAAGGAGCTGAACCTGTAGCATGCTCCAAAACTGTCATCTCCAGAGTCCTAGGATGCCTAACCAAAGTACTGGTGAAGCGTTGTGAATGGGCACTCTACATTACAGCCTCAGGGTCTACCCAGTTACCTGTACCTGATAAAGCTCGGCTGAAAAGGATAGACTTTCAGTTGCTGACTGCTCAGCTGCTTCTAATATTCACCTGGCATTTTGCAAAGAGGAAAATAGAGCACAAACTTCTGAAACTCAATCAGAATTCAACCACATACTGGGACAAAATGTGCTAAGCGCTGAAGTTACAAAGTAACTCATCTAAGATTTAAATTTGCAAAATGAAACAAAGTTACAACAAAGCTGATTTTATTTATGACAAAGCATTCATTATATATTACAATAATTACAAACTTTTTTTTTTTTTTACACCTTATTGCCGTATTTTTGTTCTTGGCACATAAATGATCAAGAACCTGGATTAGGCAATAACAAAAAAGAAACAAAATTACAAATTTCATATCTAATTTCTGTGCCATAAAAAAGGCTATCATCAAAAGAGTTAAAGTTACTAACAAACATACAAGGGGATTCCCCTTACACCTTTTTTCCCAGGAACATTTGTCATCTAATGCATAGTAAATATATATATATATACATACACACACGTCTCTTGCAAACATACACATTTACATAATCACTGGAAATTTGACATATCTCCTCCAGCAGAAAGCTCCCATTTTATTTAAACATGTAATGGAAAAAATATTTCTGAAGTCCGTGGTTTTAAATTAGTCACCGCATTTCTGAGCCAGCTGTTATCTCCTCCCTAAAAAGGGCTGCCGGCGTAATGAAAGGGTACTGCAGTTTGCGACGAACAGCATCCAACCTACCTTCACCACAGGAAAGGTCTACTAGGGATACTGTCCCTCTTGTACCTAGTCCGAGTCACTGCTGCTGCTCGAGGAGTCTGTTGACATAACTTCTACATCATCTTCGTTCTCTTTATTGTGTCCTGGAGGCTCCAACATGAAGTCATTACTGTGATTAGGAGGTAGCATGTTCATTGACATATCACTTGACTGCCAAGGATACTGAGGAGCGAGCACATCTGGAAAAGGGGGCATAATCAAACTATCAGCTTTGTATATCAACAAATTCAACAAGAAAGCTCGCCCAGAACTCAAATATAAAATTAAAACACATCTTAAAATCTTTCCTGAATTTTGGCCAGAAGAAACCCTCTAGTAACAGCTAAAAAATATCATGATAGAGCCACTCTTGTCACTGCAAAAGCCTACTCTGCCAGAGGCCCATTTATATACATGGCTCTTGATCTCTCATCACTCCACTTCAAAACTATATGTATTCATACAGAGAATTTCACCTTCAAAGCACAGTTTGAACTGACTTAACATTCACAACCACTGGCAATAATAAAAATGATCACCCTTTGTCAGTATGCAAAAATAGATGAAAGCATTGGATAAAAAAAGAAAAAAAAAGAAAATACTTAATTAAGGTAGACCACAGAAATTCAGAGTAAAAGGTTTTTTCCAAATGTGGCTGAAACACTTTGGTTATTGTTTTTCCAACAGCAAAAATGGTGCATCAAGTGCAAAGGAGAGTGTCCTACTACAAAACCAGGGCCACAGTCAAGAGATACCTGAGAGGTGGGAATGCCCCACTGTGCCCCAGCCAGGCCAGCCTCGGTTGCCTCTGACTTAGCTCAGCTCTGGCTGTTTCTTCTCCTACCCTCCTCCTTCCAAAGCCATCCCATACTGTATTCCCTACCAACCTACCCACCCCTAACATTTCCTAATCTCTCCCTTCCCCACCCCCAAAATGGCTCCCATTTCAAAGCTGCGGTACACATCTATATGCCATTTCTGTTCCCTTCCTTTTAATTTATGCTCCTACTGCTGTGCTTCAGTTCTTCTCCACTTATTACCAGGCACTGTAGCTAAGTCTATCCCATAGAAGAAACCAGCTATATCCTTCTTATAGCAAGAATTTAAAATAATTAGGCAGAGTCAGAGGTGAACAAAAGCCCACCCACATGGGACTTTGAGTACAGAAAGAGAGGGCACTATCTAAGCAGGGGGTCATATATGGTAGACGTACTCTCACTCAGGTGCTGCCTAACTCAGAAGCACAGACTCCACACACACAGCAGCTCCTGATCTTTAAGTCTGCAGACACCTGAGATACGAACTACAGCCACAGTTCCCTAATACCAGATGCATTACCTAGCTGTACAAATCCAACTCACCAGCAGATGTGAGGATGTAATGTGGCCTTTACACCAGTTCTGTGCCCACTTTAGGAAGACCAACAATAATACCAGGTGATCTCATTCCAGCTGTGAAGTTAATCAACTCTATTTGAGCCAGCTGAGAATCTAAGTCAGTGTTTTACATCCTGTAGCCATGCTCCAATACTGGAACCTGTCAGCTATCAAACCAAGTTGAAGGTGTGTGCTAAGCAGCCTCAAAGTTTTGAGGCTACCAAGCAGCCCAGTGGTAAGATTCAGTAAGAACTCAGTAACTGGATGTTTCTCTGCAGAAGTCTCTAAAAGGACTAGATTCCATAATTAGCATTCTCAGGACATGCCTCCACATACCAACAGATTCAGGATCTCTATACAAAATGCTGAGGCAGCCTCTACTTTCTTTTAAATGAAGTTTTGAGGTTTCCCCTCTTACCTGAGTCCAGTAATAAGAGAATTTCCCGAGACAGAGGAGACCCAGATTCAATTAATAATTTTACTTGAAGAGTTTCAATCCCACATTTTACAGCCTCAAGAAAGTCCTAAAGAGTGGGCTTTCAGTTCTTATAGAGACAGCACTCAAAAGTAAAAAGAGCAAATCTGCATCCCTTAAGGCAGAGGAGCCAGCCAGAATGGGCTCTACAAAAACTTGTGCAAATAAATGCTGAAACTCCATGAGGCAAACACAACCTTAACATCTTCTCTGATCATATTTCAAAAGAACAGAAGATATACATGGGCCCCATCCCCAGCATTTCCCTGGTGGGTTGCTATGGACAGACATCAGTTTCACTCTTGTTCAGCTCACTGACCCATTTTATACAAGGCAGAGGTTTATAAAACGAGACAATGCAGAATTTTTAAGTCACTTCCTAAGCAGTGACAATAGGATTAGACAGATGATCAGAAACACAAAATCCAATTTTACTATTTCTCCAATGGAGTTGCAATACAGATTTTTTAATATATTCAGTATAGTTTTTGAAAACAAGTTTTCTTTAACACTGCAAGTGGCTTGACAGACAGGCAAGAACCATTACAGATTTCCTATGAACCCAAACTAAGATTTTTTTCCACAATTTAGTCTAACCATGGTAGTTTAATGCTGCAGACATACAAAACCACTGAATTCTTGACTTAGTTACTGCAATTTACTGCTAAATTCTTTTTTAGCATAAATGAATCTTGCTAAAGTCAAAGGAGGTGCCCATTTCACTAAACAATTAAGGGATTATAGCTCGATTCCTACACTCAAGATACTACCTCACCAGCTGTCCTTTGCAGTGTCTTTTCAATCCAGAACTTCTAAGCAAACAGTCTTGCTATAGAGCATAGACTTAAAGGAAGTAGGGGATGCCAATAAACTTATTTTCTTCAAAACACAGCTTTCACAATTCCACAGTTTCTGTCATCACTGCTAAGAGAAGTCTGCTTTGAAAATGCTTCTCATATGATTTGCTATCATTTAATTTACAGCAATTTGAAATAAGTGAATTGAAGCGTTAGTTGTTTATATTGACTTAGTTGTACTGTTTGCAGTGTGATTTGGCATGAAATAAAATAAAACTATGCAATTTCTAATCGTTAACTTCACTTACTAGATCTTCACTGCTAGAGAACAACATTAGCCGCAATTTTCATTATTTTAACTCTGATTTGCCTTTGCTAAGGGAAATGTGTAATTGCCATGACTTCACAAGGAATAAAGAAAAGCAAAACAAAACTGAGTTTCTCTTACCTGGCAGTCTGCCCGCTGCGAGTGCATCCCCTGGTAAGTGTCCATTAACTCCGTTGGTGGATGGGTTGTTCATCTGACCCAAGAGACCACTCCTCATTTCCAGATCTGTAGGATATGGCCTACGTGGGTCCCCTTTTAAGAAAAAAAAAAAGCAAAGGAATGTTTTAAAATATTTAACAATTGTCTTGCAAACATTAACTTTTTCTTCAGTGCCTAGTTTCCTGACCCATACTCTCATTGCTTGGATCAGCAATGAGCACCACACCTGTTTGGTTAAAATCCAAGTCTGTGTCTTTCACTTAGGCTTTCTTTGTTCACTCAGACTTGGCAAAAAAAGTGCATCAGAAAAAACAAACCAAAACAAACAAAATAACCCCCACATGTTTAGAAGGTATCTTAGCTCTCCCTGCTACTTTACAGCTAAACAGCAAGGACAGGACTTTGAAAAAACACATTCTCATTTTGGACAAGGAGGACAGTTCCCAAAATTGAAACCAGACATAATGAAAGCCCTGCTTCTGACTCCACTAACATCCTCCAAAAAGAATATTATAAGAGCAGGACAGAACACAACTAAGCACATGGAAAAGCCTTTAACATACTTGGTTCTAATTTATAATTGGGGCCAACATTCGGGGGGGAAGCAAGAAAAGGAGAACAGAGGGGGCCAGTCAGTTAATGGAAGCACGCAGTTTCATAGCCTTTTGAAGATGTACGTGAAGTCTACAGGACTTCAGATATCCATTTTTGTTGAAAATATGAGATATAACAGCTGAAAACAACATTACTCTAATAAATCCCAGTGTTTTTCACTGTATAAAAGCACTGTAAAACCAAATACTGACCATGCTTTATTATAAACTATATTATTATGCTTATTTATTAAAAACAAAAATAATCTGTTGTCAAGCATGTTACCTGGTACCCATGTCAGAGGGGCACAAACAGCGTTGCTAGCACTGATCCTATGGGCATATTTAATTATTTCTTCAGAGGAAATGGCACCTGGAAGAATGGAAGAAAAATTACTATATTCTCAAGTGACAGCATCATTCATTATTTCAAAATATTGGACATCAATATCTAAAAGACTGAGAACATAATTTTGTCAAACATTAAGAGCATGCTTCAAATGTAATGACTGCTTAGAGGACTCAAACTATGCAAGGACGAGCTTTACAGTGAACTGATTTTACAGCTGTGAGTTCAGCACAACTTCAATTGCAACAGTTTTTCAACCTTGTGAAAAACACAAATCAATCTCTTAAGCAGTGTACTTTACAAGCACAACTTATAAGACAACTTCAGCACCTACTGTATTATGAAATTCCCTATATTAAAGATTTTGTTTGTTTGTTAATTTTAGAGCATACATGGAGCAGCCCTCCTAAATATGTACGTGTATTACAGTAATATAATCTTTATGAAATTTCTTTATTTTTTAGGTGAAAGAGGTATAACAAAATTATAAGACTGTAAAAAATACCAAGAAAATGCCTCCCACAAAAAAATAAAGTCAGTTTAGCTTGGTAAGTGTCACAGAGTGGCAGGGATTGCTACAAATACAAACCAGTATTCACCAGCTGGTCAGTCTTTCAAATACAATCCACATGCACACATTCTCACACTTTCCCCAGTAGACCTACTGAGGCAATCTGGCGAAACACTTAGGAAATCAGATATACTGCAGTCAGTCCAAGAAGAGCATTGAGACATTTGAATTTAACTTGAAAATTAAGATATGTTTACCACAACAAATAATCCCCTCCTGCCTTTATTCTAAGGAAGAAGTCATACATTCATAATGAAATGGAAGTTTGTATACACATAAAGCATCCAAAAATCTGTGGTGGTAGAAATAAAAAAAATAAAGAACCCTAACTTGAACTCACTAGCAACTTTCTTTACAACTGCATTTACGTAGTGTGTAGAATCATGGATACTCACCTTTTCTTGCCTTTTCAATTGATTTCAGTTTTTCCTTTGCTTGATAAACAGCTGTTGCCTAGTTGTAAAAAACAAACAAACTAACTAAACCACACGTCAATGCATCTTTAATTTGTAAACTTCTACATAATGTTGGCTCTGTGAATAAACCCCTGCATTTTAATTGCATTTTAAGAGAGGAAACTATTCAGTGAACATTTTCAAAATACACAGAAATATGGTAGGTTTGGAAGAAAATTAGCATTATAAAACAAATCTGAATACCATGATAACTAAACCATATTTGACTACTGAAAAAACCCCAAACAACTATGCACTTATGAAGTTTTAAATATTTAAATCCTCTCAAACTAACATAACACTGCTTTCTCCAGAACCACCTTTTTCACAAGTAAATGCTCAAAAGCAAACACATCATTATGAACTTACCAGTATGTGCTCTGCTTCCTTTAGTTGTTTCTGCAGCTGCTGAATATCATTATCCCTCTTTTCTACTACCTTTTCTAAAAGCTGCATTTCATGATGGATTTTCCCCTGATCAACTGCCAACTTCATTAGCTCTTGAAACTCTCCATCTCTCTGAATCAGCAGATCCAGGATCTATTGAACAAGAGTTTTGCAGAACTTTTAGTTTAGCCACAGTAACAACACACCCTCAATTGTGCTGCAAAAAAGAGCAACTGACATCCATAGCAGTACTTCAGTTTGCATGAAAAAATGAAACAGAACTTGTTCCTCTGTTTGCAGAAACAGCCTATGAAGCATACAACAAATGAACAACCAAACCAACTAACCAACCACATGAGGACCAAGAATGCCTTTGTAGTGAGCCCAAAACCTCACCATCACCATTAGCCTGAGTACAGGCAAGGACAAAAAGTGAAAGAAAGAAAAAAAGGGAAAAAACTGAAGTAGAGCATTGTGCTTACCCGAAGAAATACAGTTTAGAAAGTCAGCTTACCTGGCTTTCCTCTCCTGGTTGTGGAAGCTTCTGGTTTCTTGAAATCGCCAAAATTTCAATTAGTTCCCTGAAAGGAAAACTCTGCGTTTGTGCAATTTTCTAGGGCATTATTTGTAAATCACATTAAGTCATCCCAAGATTGTCAAGAGTATTGATGTAATTACAAAAGTATTCACGGACTTCAGTATTTTGTAGTTTTATAGTACAGTGTTGGCAGGGATTTCTCAACCAAGAGTAATTCTGTGAACAGTCTCATGATTGGAGAACGTTTCCGTCTTTGTTCTCCGAGCTCATGAAGTGCTCATGTGTATTTGTACTCATGAAATGTGCTAAGTTCCTGCCAAATAACATAAGACATAAACAGAAGCTCAGAGAAGAAACAGCACAATGAAATGTATTCATATCCTACTTCTACTGCCTTCATTTGTTGCAAGAGGGCATGAAAGTTGTATTCACTATTTTAGTTCTCTACTTTTCCTCCATTTTTTCCCCAACAGAGCAAGTTTCACAGTTGGATTTAGAGCAATAAGGTCTACTCTTTCAAACATCTAAAAAGTTTGTTGTGAAACTACTTTTATAACAAGTATTTCCACAATGGTATATTAATTGTGTATCAAATACAAACACCAAAGAACTATTAATATTCTGGTGCTAGGTTAAAAGTGCTTCTCCAACAAACCTCTTGATCACACTTCCAGGTACCCATTTACCACCATTCTGAAAAGCCATCAAGAACCTCAGAGGGAACCCACTAAACAACAAGAACATGATGCAAGAAGGCATTTTCTATAAATTCAGCAAACTTATTTGGCTTCTAAAGTTATGGATGGCAACTCAATGGTACACGAGTAACTGTCTATCTGAAGACACCATCCTTGGAACAGTACTGATTCTTTTCTTGGTCCAGTGCAGCACAAGTGGGATGTATGACTTATAGAGCGGTGGGGCCAAAACCCTAAAATGAAAACAGGTACTCTTCAAAATGTCTGAAAAAATCCCTCACCAGTAAAGCTCTAACTAGCATCTTGGTGTGTGTCTCTTGGTCACTCCTGAACACTAAAATAATTTAAAACAATTAGAAAACAAATAACTTGTCATTATCACTAAAGCTTTATTATACCTGACCAACATCAAGCAGGGGCAAATAAAACCAGTTGTAAGTAGGTCAACTACTGCCATCAAGGCTGATGTCACGGAGGGTTGTAATTCTGTCTTTCATTAGCCAGATAATGCATAGACACAGATTCAAACTATACAAGGGCTACAGATTAGATATGTTGCTTAATTTCTGCCCCTACCACCAAACCTGCATCATGACTGTGAAAGGCCTAGTTCTAGCTCCATGGTGCTGCAACTCTTTGCTGATAAACAGGAAGATTCACTAAGCACTGCTGAGGTCTGCTCTGGATTCATTATGGTAGAATCTTAGTCCCAAGAATTATAAAAGAAAAACAAGTTCAGATAAAGACCAAGTCTTTTTCTTTCTTTCTTTCTTTTTAAAAAATATTTGTTCTCCAGCAACCTATACATCACAATAAAACCTAAAATTTAAAATAAACTCTAACCAGGAACAAGAGCAATTGACCAATATATTTTCCTTGTCCTATCAGTGGTAATTATATCAAGTGAGCCAGCCACAGATAATATAGGTTAATACCTCTGAAAAAGTTTTCCTAAGCTCCTGTTCTCCTCAAGAGGATGAAAATAATTAGGAATCAGTTTAACTGCACTGCCAGCCAGGCCTCCACAAATGGTGCACAGCTTGGGAGAGGGTTCCCAGTCCAGCCTCAGGAACATGGACCAAGTGAGCATTTATATCACTCCAAAGACAAGCTCTGCAGCCTACTGAGTGAGCTTAACACTGATACAGGCAATGACCAGAACGGTTTAAGTCATGCAACATCACCTACAAATTTCTGACTCAAGTGTAATATTAAGTGACTAATAAAAAGTCTAAAATCGGGGGATGTGCATGCATTTTGCAGGCAATGCAGGTGTCAACCAAGAAAGGTAAGT